AAGGTGCACAGCTTTCCATAAATGGGTCATTCTTCAAAGGGTCGAAAATTTCGGTCACAGGGTTGTAAATGCTAAACTATACAAGTTTGGACATATCGATCGATTGGACATGATTTAACACTTCAATACCTTTGTGGAATCGATTAAAAAGTCTTATTTTATATTCACTTAGTATTTCAAAACCCAGTCTGAAAGTTGAAAACGGGGGTATTTTTGGTGTTCTCCGCGTGTCACACCTCGCACTAACTTTTTACAAATTATGATTTTACTACTTTCCTTATGTTTTGTACGTATCTATTGTATATCAAAATAATCGTCATAAAGCAATATATTAGGTGAATGATGAAGAAAATATCTAACGCGTGTAGTTTTAAAAATAAACCCGAATATGTATCGGTCACACGATTTCGGACAGTTAGCCCAAGCGTGGTAAAATCGGTCATAACTTCTAAGTTTATAACCATATCCAGCTGAGATTTTGTTCCTCAAATTATTACGATATGCTTCAATAATCAAGCAGAGTGAATGGGCACCTCAAAGCCCAGAACTAAAAATATTTACAAAAATAAGGGCTGACACAAGTTTTACTACCCTTGCATGTAAGTTACGTGGATTCAAATTTCTTCTAGAATTAATACTCTTAGAGATTTGTCTTTTACAGGGCTGATTTGTAATATAGTCGGGACTATTGGTCTATAATTTTATTTAGATTCAATAAAAGATGGCCGAGTTATTATCAAAAATACTCTGTTTTTGTAATCTGCGTGGAGTAATTTGCGTGGCAAAATACCCACGCAGCTTACAATTCTTCCCACGCAGATTACACAATGGTTCTAATAGTTAAAAAAAGGTTGAAATAACCATTTTAAATACTATTATTTTTCCTAATATTCATTAAAAAACACATGAAAAGAATTCTTTTGGGCAAATATCATCAAGATTTTGAGTTTTCATGTCGTTATACTTGGACATAGAATTTTTACCAATTTTGATGGATTTGAGTGCATGTTTTGTCAAAACATACTGGACGTTGGCTCTATTCAACCACCTAACTTTGTCTCGCAGCAATTTTTCGATGCCAGTGATCGTTTTCTCATAGGCTTTATGTGTATTTTGAGGCCAAAAGTCAAAACCGTAAGGTAGATCCGATAATATGCCAGCGACCGTATTGAGACATAGTGCTCCTGATTTATCTCTTGTGCTGACAATCTTGCTAAATTTATCTGCGCTTGCACTACCTATTTTTAAAAGAACTACAATGCCAAAGCCCCCTTAACTTGCTTATGTAGGTATCATTGGTTCATAAACAGGGCGATAGCGTTAACTCGATTTACTTTTACGTCATGGTGAGGAAGAAGGTCTCCATCAGACGCGTGTCATATAAGTCTAATGTGCAGCAAACTGACCTGTCTTTCTTGCGGATCCAGCCAGGGAGGCCGAAAGGGTCGCATAGGGCTCAGGCAACCCTGCGTATTTCATAACCGTGTCCTGGGCGACACAATGTCTGTCGAATCTTCCTGATATTATTTAAAACTACTGCAATTGACAGAGTTAGGCCATAATGAGTTAACTTGTTAGTTGCCCCTACCTACTGCGGCCGTCAATGTGACTTTCACCTAAGACTACTGGGAATCATTTTGCGTAAGCTTGGGCAAACGTGGCGAACTTGCCACTTCGCTTGACGTTTCGAAGGATTTTAGCTGGACAAGGTCTGGCAGAAACCTTGACCTGGCTCCTCAGCAAGCTTCCTGTTTATGACAACCCAGCTGGTTTTTGTAATCAATAACAGCTATCTCTCTGACCTCATGGCCATTGATGCCTGTGGTCTTCAAGGTTTTAGTCTCTCGGCGATTTTTTCCTTCAGAACAGCTTTTAATAACTTCAGTTTGGTATTCATAGGTATGCAGAAGACAGTACCATCACAGAGACATTGTCAAGTCCAAATCGGCAGAGCGGAATTTGCGTTCTATAGAGAAAGCCCTGGTCTCATTCAATGCTACAACGACACAGGAGGTTTATTGCATCTGAAAGTAGTCCTCTCGACTAGACAACTACTTTTTTTGAAGTACACTTACCTATTTCTATCATCGCGAATAGCTTGACTGGGCATTAAGTTGTCATCAATCCTGAACTTCGATTTCACTTCGGAGCCTAAAAATCACTACTTTCTTATAAAACTAAGCTTACAAGCTCACCTTTGTAACTAAATTTAAGTATCACCAATTGTTATTTATTATGCTTGCATTAAAGAATTCATATAAAACTCAAGCCTGTTCATGTGTGTAGAAATCCGGCCACCCCTTGGATGACTTAGTCAATAAGTTGCTCTTGATTTGATGGAACTCAATACGACACATATCTGGTCAATACCAATCTACACAGCCTTGCTTTTTGTCGCAAGATGGCCTGCCTAGCAGTCTTCATCATATTTTTTATTCAAAATTATGCTTAACCAAGACGTCTACGATCTTATTCCGCCAGCTCCTTTCCACCATAGAACATCTGTAAGTATATTTGGCGGGATACCATCCATATTTAGTTGCCAATCCACCAATTTGGACTAAGCACTCTGAATCTTCTTTCATTATGCACACTAAAAGACAAGAACTTGCATCTGTTGATTCCAAAATCATAAAACCTTATAATCTTTTTATGGTAGTAGTGAATAAAGACTTATTTTCCTTGACCTGTCTCCACCGCAGACTCTATCTTTGCCTTATAACCTAGACTTAAGTCAAGAATAATCATGTTTCAAGTAAAACTTATAGAAAACTAATGAAAATACAAAGATAAAATTTTCTATGTAATCTGCGTGGCTTGATTTGTAATCTGCGTGGCACACAAAATTTTAAAATTAAATTTCTCGAAAAGTAATTGTGCTAGCAAGGAGCACCAAACTGTTCTATAATCGTGAAAGCATACAGAATCATATTTCATTGTCATCATCTTCAAATTACTTAAATTAAAATTTGCCACGCAGCTTACGCGGAGAATCGAAACCTGAATAATGACCCAAATAATCACTGGTATAAAGACGAGAATGGTAGAGAACCAAAAACGTTCCGATTCCTTCCATTGTGTATTGTGTGAGTTCGCGAATATTTCAAATATTTGCAATCAATATTTGTTGAATAGCAGTCAAGCGGCGAGAATCTGAGAGCAGACTGAATTATACGACGTGTTCTGTTGTAATATACTTGAACAATATTTACTTGTAGGTAGATGCATTAAATTAATACTTTAGGTATGTAGAATTTTGGATACATTTTAACAATTATGTTAGTATTTGCTACTCTGTATTGCAACTGAAGCCCGCTTTTTTCCGACAATAACGACGGTTATAGGTTTTTTTTAGGTTTTGGTCCCTACTCCGCAAGGGATATTAGCGTGATATATGTATTGCCTGGGGCATTAGAAATTTGGAAGATTCCTATACATATACACTATATATAACCGAGTGTGTATTAATATTTAGGTACAGCTAATTTTTTATTCCATTCAGAAAACCAGTTTAATGAATAGTATCAACCTAAAATACGCACGACTGACGAAAAAATATCCCTGTAGATATATAAAAATTGAAGCGCGTAACAGAATTTTTCAATTTAATTTGGAAAGGGAAGAGCAAACAGGTGCATGGGGCAAAGACAAAATTAAGCTTCGGAATATCTTCCGCATTTTCAATCGATGCTATCCTCTTACCCATTCTTTCCTTATTGAGCCATCCGTATATTTTTATGCAAAAATGCCAATAATCTTTTCTTTGATCTTTTTTTCGTGCATAAGAATGTCTTAAAGCTGTGTGATTGTTTACTATGCTATTAATTAAAAAAATGCTATTTGTACCTACGTTTGATACTCCATTCAGAAAGTTATGATAAATATAAGATTGGGTTGATACAGTCAATTGTATTGCCAAATTTATTATTTCATTGCTTCAGAGCGAGCCTAGAAGATTCTAGATATACTATTACTACAGAAGACGTTAGGTATGATAGAAGATATAAAGAATATTGTTTGGTACATAGGTTTATAGAGCGGACCGGACAGTAAGAGTATATTATAGTTAAAATTATCTAAACTGGATAAAATTTTGCAAACTTCTCAAGTTTATGGCAGATATTACTAACAAACTTAGGGCACAAGATCATCCACATAAATGCATGGCACTTGCCCTTAATGCTGCGAGTGTTCACCAAGGCGGAAGGCAAATGGTTCTCATTACAACAAATGGGCCTCAACATCCAAACACCTTCTTCCTTCTACCATATTGACTGTGAAAGTAGGGGAAATACGCCCATTTCTGAGGGACTAACGGCAGGGAAAGTGCTTTTTGGCACTCGTAAAGAGTGAAATTGAGTTAGTGCCCTTCAATTTCAGTAATGAGCAAAGTACCTTCTCAGTGTGTACGTGGTTCATTTACGTATAAAAAAGAAGACAAGGAACATTATGTGAACAAAGCGAAATAAAGTTGGCAACGAAGCAAACTAATCAGTTTCTCTTTGTTTCGACAAACGAGAAATCCAAATAGCAACCGAATAACATTTCCATACAAGGCAGTAGTTTGTACCATGCACAGCATATCCGTTTATCAGCGTCAACGGGCACAGCCAAAGACAATATCCGAACGTAGATCGGAGACAAATCTGAATAAGAACAGGATTTATCCAGCTAAAGTCACAGAACGAATTCGCGGCTTATCCGCACGCCCGCACTTCCGTTCGCACTCTTTTCTCTACTAGATTTAGTAGTTACGAAACAAAACAACTAGGTTCTATAGCGTGCCGTGTGATGCCGGCTTTAATAGCATCACCCCATATGTTTCCGACTAAGGGAATTGAGAGTTGATGTTTATCGCAATTTTAGGCTGACAACCTGTCGTCGTTATGGTGAAACACATTCTTGTGAATGACCTTTAAATTTTTTGTCAGACGTGGTGTAAATGCCGTTTTAACAAAGCAGTTTAATAATTAAATAATGAAAAAATTGCAAAATTCACCTGCGCCCGCCGGGATTTGAACCCGGGGCTGTGGATCACCCTTCCACCGCTCTGCCAACTGAGCTACGGGCGCCTAGCGGACCCTGGTGAATTTTTCAAACTATTGATGCTCGTCTCGAAGCGACGATTAAGCGACATCTAGTAGTAGTTTTTACAACTAAATACTTTGGTTAGTCCACGTTACAGTAGGAATTCAAACCAAATGATGAAGCTTTTTGCTTAAACCAATGTTATTCTCATAAATTAAATAGAGTGCATAAAAAAAATACCTATCCTTCTATCATGACATGACACAAAACCCATGCTTTATTGTTTTTACTGTAAGTAGGTGCATGTAGCAAGTGCATTGAAACAAGCTTGAGCAAAGGTATTATGAAACATTCTTTACGAAATGAGACGATCTTTTTGTGAATATTCCTTGTCCGCACCGATCGCGTGCGGTGATGAGAAATTCAATATCTCCATCCGTTTCAAATTGCCCGGAGGTGGCACAAAAATGAGCAGAATTTTTGTAGATATTATTTCCCTACGTTATTGTGGAAAGTATTGATAGCCTGTAGCGGCGTGGGCTGAGCAGGCGGTGGCTTTGAAAATCGTTTAGGTAAAATAGGTTAGAATTTTATCTTTTGAATACGTGGCTATGAAAACGCAGATTTTATTTCAGGTTATTATGAAGGCGTTAACATATACTTATCTATGGTGTATTTTTTTAAACACCTTACCTTGAACGCATTCACCCATTTCAAGCGAAGCACAATATTTACCTACGAACAAAAGTTTTAGCTTCTAACGACAAGCAGTTACTACGTGAGAACTTTACAAACAAGCGACTATCAACTTTTGCAAGTATTTCGTTGTTTTTTTTTCAAGGTAGGCGCAGGCTCCACAGAGGAGACGTGTGTCGTGGTCGTGATACATTTGTACCGGGAGTGACAGAAAGGGAATAACAAGCCGAAAGGAGGTCTTGACCTTCCGTTACCATATGTAACATGGGGCAAAATAATAAAAAAGAAATTTGGACCTCCCATAGTAGGTAAATCAATCAGCAGATCGCCGATTTTCTATGGGAGGCCCAAATTTTTTTCATACTTCGATCCATGTTCCATCGGGAAAGTTGTTCAGTTTCATGATTACCTTGACCTCCTTTCGGTTGTTATATACCCTTTCTGTTACTCCCGGTATAGAAACGGTTTCAAGGGTCGCGATGTAGCATGACTTACTTGCTCTCCGACGGTTGGTTGTCTGACACATGTCATTTTGCGTCTCGCGTCGCACATCTCACCTAGCTTGCGCCATAGGCCTAACGTCACTTGCCGAAATAAATAACGTAAAGCCTGGCAAATCTGACGTTGTAGTTCATTGCGTAAATATACCTTTTTAGGTACGTAATTTTACTATCACGTTCATGCAACACCGCACAATTTTCCTACGGGATAAATAAACGCTATCTTTCCTGCAATTATCAGCCTATTTGCCGGCGGGAACTGTCGCCCTGTCACACTCCTAGGGTTGCCACTTGCCAGCGTAATGCACGTTGTGTTGCCAACGGATAAAATGCCGCCTAGATTAACAAGCCAGATAGTAAATAAAACATATTTTGCTGCATTTTGCCGTTGTCCACTGTCATGTTAATATTTCGTATATGCTGATAAACGGCCTGAGCATTTAATATTGTTACAATGTGCTTAAAATGTATAATATGGTTTGATTTTTATATTCGAACACTAGTTAGTTATTCAATGTAAGTACTTATGTACAGTTATATCCAGATTTATTGATTCACGTATCTGCACAGATATAGAGGGGATAGTAAATTACTGAATGGGTGTGCCTGCAGCTTATTGTAGAACATGTTTTTTTTTATTTCCTGTATATTAAGTATACCAAAAGCTTTTTATCTCATTTGAAACTGTATACCTATCTTATATTAACTACTAGTATTACTAGTTAACTACCGATCAATTTTCAGATAAGCCTCAAAAGTCGAACTACATAATTGGAGTTAAGTGGTTTGTTACCGAAAGTCCAGACTCAATAGCTTTAAGTCCGACGCCTGGCAACCCTATACTTGCAAAGTTCGCCGCTAGCCGCCTAGCCGCTAGTTTATTATTAAAACTACTAATCACCACTACCACTACGGATACAGTTTATATCCTTTTTGAGCTAGTGTTGGTATTCCGTGGATGCTATAGAATCTAAATTATTCAAAAGCCAATTAATTTAATTTGACCCCTGGAACCCTGAAGTTTTGCTCCGTGTCTGCGGTGTGGCTATATAGGGATAGTATAACGCTCCAAACTACTAGATAATCTGCCTGAGTAGTAGAGTTTTTACTGGTTGATAATTAAAATATTTAGCAGGACACTGATGTACAAATAGGTAAAGTAATAAATACAAAATAGCAAGTGAGATTTTAAGTTTAAAGGATTTTAAGTAATTAATTCGACGTGGCTACTGTCACATATGTGTCCCGGCCTTTATTAATTAATATGTGTTTCGGCCTTTATAAAGATTTCAAAACAGCGACATCTATTGGTATAAGATGCGATTAGTACTTGGTTCTGATCTGTCAAAATTGTTATAGAAGTTCAGGAACACAGCTGATAGATGGCGCTATGTGTATGAAACGGTGAAATTGTAAGTTACTTTCTTGGTTTTCTCATCATATCGTTCGTATAGGCAAGTCTAAATAATTTTGGATAATTAGCTGATAGTTGCACAGCGTTTGCAGTAGCATTTATAATTTTTCGTGCTTATATGATACAGGACATAACATTTTGCTATTTTTTTAAGAGCCATCTATTGTCGAGTAGTGGAAACTGCAAGGTGTCACTTTAGACAGGGCCCTACTAGGCCTATCATAGTGCCATAGCGACTGAAATACCTAAGGTTTATTTTATTAGTCACATTTTCGGTTTATAGAAAATTGATGTATTTTCTAAAAATTCTATGAACCAGTAGTAACATGTTTAGAAATATTGGTAAAACCGTGGTTTACTTAATATACACTATAAGTTTTCTTGGATGTCAGGATGGGTCGTGGCCCCTTCCCTGAATTGGTGTCTGGCAACAAGTAGCGAAACAAGACATTCTAAAAAAATCTAGAATAGTCGAATGTCTTCTAAAATGTGTATGAAAGAGAGGAGAATATCTTCTTTCGTAATGAGTAGCAGATTTCGAGAACATTATTCTTCTCGTAAGTTCGAAGCTTTTTGGTATAAAATAGCGAGCCATACAGCCTGCGTTCAGTTTTTAGTTTTAATCGTTGTTTAGTTTTCGTATAAAATGGGCGCGCGGTGCTGGCAACACTGTTCTGTCATTGTCACGTCCTCTGCCGTCGCCCGCATCGTTGATGCGAATGTTAATTACAAATGGTGTAATTAGTGTGTTTTCGGTTTTCTCGTGTGGTTTTCCCTGTTCGGTGGGGAAGTGAACCAAGTGATTTTGGTTCCGGCGCTTTGATTGAGAGTCACGCGACCGCCGGCAAAATATAACCTCACTTTTCGTTGGCTCGCGTCGTGGCTGCCGATAGCTACGTATTTTAATTATAAATGATTGGAGGCCAACGGGGCCGATTTCTCATTCGGAGAGAAATCTTTTAGTTATTTTGTGTTAAAAAACATTATGTGATGTCGAACTGTGAACTATAGTGCAGATTGGAGGAAAGGAGTTCGAGAACGAGCGGATGTTCCAGTGCCGTGAGTTTAGGTTATTCCCTATTCCTGTGCTCCTCACAATATCCTGAATACCTGATTCCTGTCATACTTAAACTCACAAAGAAACGGCGTCATCGTTCGCTCGGTAAGCAATTCGTTGCTGGGCCCTGTTTAAGTAGATTTTGGAAACAAGAATTTCTCGGCCGGAAACTTTCCGGAACAAAATTCTCTCATTAAATTTATTTTATTTAGCTATAGTAAAGAGCACTACGAATCGTAGTCAAATGTTGTTCCGAGGCTGATCGACCATTTAGTTTTAGATTTTAAGATAACTTTAATTTGCTTCCACTGCGCTAAGATCAGCTTCGGAATCAAACATTTTTTGGTAGCAGAGCGTGGTTGCTTTATTGCAACATAGTTAGCCGTAATTTAGTATTAAGCGTGTTTTTTATATTACCCACATATTTTATTAATTTTGGAAAATATTGTTTCGGTTTTTTTTTGTGACTGTATTGTTTGCCTAGTGAACGGTATCTTATCGGTAAGGTCTAGGCCAGTCAACTAACATTTATTTTGTGGTATTTGTTTATTGGTTTTTCGTTTTTATTAAGTCGAGTGTGTAAAAGTTGGTACCATGGCTCCCTCGATCGCCAGGTATAAGGCTGCTATAAAGACAGAATTAAGGTGGTTTACTACCACAGCGGCAATGATCGGCCGCGAGGACCGGGAGGACGCGCTCTTGAAAAGTGCACTACAGGCAGATGAACGGGTTCGGGTTGTGTCGGAACACCTCACAGAGTGCCTCATGCTCCTTGAGGAAGCTCCTAACCCTGAAGATAAGGAGCTGGTTGAGGGCGATGTAAGCCAGTGCTTGGAGCTGGCACAGGACATTGCGCAGGCAGCTGCGGACATATCTAGGCGACGTGACGGAAAGGAAAAGCCATTCCGTGGTAAAGTGGGACAAGGATTACAGGTGCCTCTTCCGCCTGTTACGGTTCCAGTCTTTGCAGGCGATTACGCCGACTGGCCGGCGTTTGAGGACCTGTATAGCAGTGTGGTCCACACACGGACGGACATAACGCCGGCGTACAAGATGGCTCAGCTGATGTCCAGGCTACATGGAGAGCCTCATGAATTGCTGACGCATTTGGCTGTCTCGGATAGCAATTATGAGGTGGCGTGGAAGATCCTTACCAACCGGTATCGAAACAAGCGCCTGATTGTAGACAGGCTGTTAGACCAGTGGCTGTCAATACCAACCATAACGCGAGGTACGGACCTCCGCGAGAAAATCTTCCACCCAGTCAGTGTCGCGGTCAGCGCACTAGAGCGACAGGGTTTGCCAGTGGCGGGCTACGGTTATATCTTGGTCCACACAGTGCTTCGCCGCCTGCCGAGCGAAATGGTCGCTCGATTC